AAAAAAAAGAAGTAAATCAAACAAAAAAACCAAGCAAGCATCTATCTCTTTAGACTACTTTCAAAACAAACTGCAATCAGCAGCAACAGCACTACAACAGTACCCAACAATAACGACAACAACAAAAACGGGTAACCTACAACGATAGATGGTATCAGCGTTGACATCATGGAACCTGTAGCTTAGCAGCTTCAGCAACTATAAAATAAAATTAGCATCCAAAAAAAAACATCAGCTATAGTGATAGGGCAGTTGCCTAAAATTGTTGTTGTACCCATGTTTTGTTTTACCGTTATTTGTCGGGTTGTTTTTGAGCTGTTGTTACGCTCAATAAAACCGGTATCCAGACTTTCAAAAGAAAACTTTGATTACCAGATTCCTTCCTTGTCAAGTTGAAGCAATAAAAAAAAAACGATCTTAGACAGGTCAAAAATAACTGCAATTTTCATCGATGCTCACAGTTTATTTGTATGTTTAAATAGACAAACAAAATCAACAAATCAAACTGCTGCTGTACCAGGACTTTAAATTATGAAAAAAAAAAAAACGATAACAGTATTTTAATATAAAGTTTAATAATTGTGAAGCAGACAGAAAGAGAAACTGTCTGAAAAAAAAAATTATCAATTTTTTCCACATCTTTTCTTCAAATTCAACCAAAAAGAAGTGAACCACACATCACCACATTAACAGTAACAGAGAAAAAAAAATTAGAAAGCTATAATAAACGATGATGGTGCCCTTTAATGATTGCTGATGCTCATGATGATGATAATGATGATGATGATGACGATGATGATGATGATGATTGCGAAGGTGACGATGACAGTGAACAGAAAGTGAACATCTTTTTATAAAACATTTAAAAAAAAAATATTCCTTTCATTTTTTTTTCTCAAATTAGACAATTCTGAAGATGAAAAAAAAAAAAATAAAAGTGCCGGTTTCACTGTCATTGTAGTTGTCGTTGTCGTAGTCGTCATGATCATCGTCATTACCATCAAACTGCCAAACATTACCACCATCATCATTATCAACATCAACATCATCATCATCATCATCACTTCATCGTATCACCAATCATTATGATCATCCTGAACTAAGAATCTGGAAAGGTTATGGTTGACAGAGAAAAAAAAAAAAAAAAAGTAAACAGATGCACATCCAAGCAAAAATTTAAAAAAAAAATTGATGTCAAATGATGCTTTTTCTTGCTTTTCTACACTTTCTTAAAAACTATTTATCAGTTGAAAGTTGATCAAATTGCGTACAGAGGAACAGTGAAGATACAGAAATATGCAACAGGCAATACCAAATAATATCGTTACGTCTCTTTTTTTTTTTATTTTTAGTTTTATTTTTGATAGAAATGTGGAAACTTTTGCTGCGGTTTATAACTTTTTTTTTTTTTTTTTTTTTTGCCATTTTTTACTACTACTTTTTCAATTTAGTGGCATTGCTGTAACGGTACCAACCAACAATCAACAACAATAATAACGCCTGAGCAATTGACCATTTAAATGGCAACCAAGACATCGGCAACCAACAGCAAAAAAAAGAAAAAAACACCACCACCAAACCTATTCATTTTAGTTTATTTGATGGCTACAACAACAACAA